AAAAAGTGCTCACAATGTAAAACTGTTTGCTATATGTAATGCAGTAAATACAGTTTGTGGCTGAACCCATTCATCTGTATTTCACAAGGCATTGCAGGCTGCCAATATGTTGTGTGTTCAGTGTATTCCTTTGCAGACCTCTGCACAATGCAATGAACTTGGAGGGTATTTGTCATTTTCAGTCCATACACTACCTCTGCATTAGGAAGAATTACTAATATCATGAACATGTCTGACCACTGCATGAAAGAAAGAACACAGGACAAGCTGACAGTATGAGAAAGTTTTGTTTTATTTTGATGCTTTTGTTTTTTTTTGCAATGGTAGTTAAAGAAGCATTTCTAGGCTAGGCTTAGGAATTAAACTCTTAAAGAAAGGAAGTAACTAATAGAATATTTACTTATGAGTCTGGCCTTCAGAAAAATGTGAAGAACAGCAAGGTAAGGAATAAAGCAAGAATATATTCTTTTTAAACCCCCACCTATATTTAGATCAAAGCCTCCAACTAGATGCTCAAAAAGGTAGCCTAGGAAATGAGGAAAAAGGCCAACCTCTCTGTTCAAACATCCCATGTAGGCCTCCTTCACCTAAAGCTCCACCAAAGCCTCCAACTGGACCCCCATCTAGTCCAATTATTTCCCATTAAGTACTCCAAGTAAATTCTTATCAAGGCCTCCTCCACCTAAAGCTCCACCAAGGGCTCTTCCACCTAGAGCTCCACCAACACCTCCAACTGGATTACTATTTAGTCCAGCTTGAGCCCCAGAAATGACACTAATGACCCTTATCATTGCCTCCTCCACCTAGAGCTCCATTATTGCCTCCAACTCGATCCTCAATTAGTCCAACTAGAACCCCATAAGGGACACCAACATGGTCCCCAACACGGTCATTAACGCGGTCATTAACGCGGTCTCCAACACGGTCTCCAGCTGGATCCACAGTTTCAGTGCAATCTCCATTTCTGCTATTTAGTAATATCAGATTAGTTTTGCCATGTCCAATCCTGTAACAGAAAATGTTTTGACATTGAGTTATTAACTGAACATGCCCACCTACAGCACTTTCTGACAAGTCAAAGCCTGATGTTCCTCCTAATCTTCCAGTAATTAAATATGTCGCATGCGTCTTTTAAAAAAAAATTAAATTGTTACAAGAATGTATTAAAAAGGCTAGAAAATTGGTAAAATAATGTACAAGCTGTTCATTCGCAAAAAAAAATAGACTTGACATTTCAATATTTATTTTCTCTCACACTTATATCTTTCTTTTAAGATCCCTATAAATAAGAAATCTACATCTTTAAAGTACCCTACTACATTACTAAATGTATTTCTGCATTTCTATTTAATTTTGTTTCAAGTTTATTTATGAAAACGTGAGAATTTAAAGTGAATTTGAACATAAAGTCATAAATCAGCTATGCTTTCAGTTGGGTTTGTTTGGCTCTAAATTTGAAATACATTTTGAATTCTCACTTTTATATATAATCCTGTTTAATCCTATTAACTACTACCATAAGATATGCTTCGCTGTCCCTTCTGATTAAAAGAAATATGCTTTGTTTATACACTACATTCTTAATATACTGACAAATTAAAAAAAAAAAAAGTAATGTAGGCGACAAACTTTAAAACAGCTGCCTCCTATGTGAAATCTATTTTTTTTTCTTTTTTCTCAACTCCATAGCTCAACATTATTCCTTCTTCCCATTTCAAAGAGGGAGATATCGACAGATTCCTGCTGTTCTATGCTTTAGGATACTCCCCCATGTACACTGACATTAATTGTGACATTAGAGCTACACTGTGAATACAAAATCTTGATATATAAAAATAGCCGAAGGGATAAGCACATGTTCATGGACATGTTTTGGACATGTGAACATCTCCAAGCAATTCGTTAAATGCATACAAGAGACAACAGATATTGCAGATATCGCCAGGGATGTCGGGGTCATACATGAAAAACTGGAAGTATCAGACAGCAGAAATCATTAATCAGAAATGCTGTGTTAGCAGGAAATATGGATGGGGCAGAGTAAGGAAAATTGATCTCTGCTTTCATTACATTACAAAAGAACTGAATCGATGCAAAACAGGTGCAGTTTGGGGTACAAGTTGTGATTGCTCCTTATTTAACATTTTGTCCCAGAATAGCGTCTGTTCTCACCCTGATAAAACTCACAATAAATGTTTTGTCATCTAAGCAACATAATGTATTTTTACATGAAGTTAGTGTTATATCATAGCCTTAGTTTGGTGAAAGGTTGTTGGCTGTAGCAACCTATAAAAGAATAGAGAGAACAGAGCCAAGTTCAGCAAGTAAAAAGTGCAGATTGTGCACATAGTTACTAAATTTAAACCAAATCTATCTAAAACAAGTACACTAATTAAAAACAATCAAATAAGCTCAAGTTGTTCACTGATGGTAGAAGATGTGCACTCCTAGTAGTCTATAATAAAAGTATTTTTTTTTATCTATTGCTTGTATTACATACAAAAAAAGCCATTTATACTCACATTACGAATGTGCAACTCAAAAACAGGAACAGACCGGAGATTGTGGCTGAGGACATCCTGTGATTCAACTCCTGTGTCCAATGTCTATTTAGATGGATTTATGAGACGGGTAACATACAGTCCACTTTTCTTCAATTCGAATGCTGCCTGATCCACTTGCACAGCTTAGAAGGAGTTGGACCTGGTTTGTGTTCACAGAAGCAGTGTGTTACTTGAAATTACTTATTCACAAAGGTAGCTAATGTTAGGACATGTTCGATGAATACTGAGTTTCTTATAAGAGAAATACACACATTGCAATCCCCATTTTCTAAATTATCTAATGCTACCGACCTCAAACATGATAAGGAATCTGAATTGGATTTCTTTATTAAAATGTATGAATAAATGTTTACAGGCTCCCTACAGGGAAAGAAACAGCCTGACTAAGAACTGTAATAATAAAGACTTTCATTACAATTAACACATAGCAGAAGGCAGGGCCGACCATAAGCCTTGAGGTTCCCTCATCACACCCCTTCCTCTAGGTATAGCCTGTGTGTATATGGATTTAGTGTTTGTATAGGGTATTTATTAAATGAAAAATTATTAAAAAATATATATATATTCGTTCTTAATATGACCACCTGTGATCAACATGTCCCTCTCCCTGCAATTTAACAACAGGGAAGTGGCGTATGCTGATTTCTGATGGTCCTGTGTGCTGGGAATCTGGTCTTAGCCTCCGTCTCGGGCAGACTATGAGTAATTGTCTTGGGAGGCACTTACAGTGTCAGCTTTGCTGTGGTACTTTGTGGCAACACATTCTGATTGACCAGAGCTTGCAAGACCTCTGCTTATTGTCTGCCACTGTCCACCCAATGCTGTACACAGTTGTGTGTGTTTTGTATGACTGAGTGCTACTGTAATAAATCTCACAATAATATGATGTCATTTGTGTATGTGTGTGTGTTGTCTTTGTGTAATGGATGTGTGTGATATTGTATTTTACACACTATGAACCCCAACCCATGCTGCTGTCATCATGAAAACATAGAACATGTTTGACCCATTCTCATGCTAGCTAGTTGAATGCTACAATCCATATATCATCTGTCTTGCATATGACATATTGACATTGCCAATGAAAGAGCAATAAAATGTCTTTATGCACAGTGTAAGTAGAATTTGATTCTTTAGATGTGTATATATAAATCACAGTCTGGATTGTACATTATAAGACAATACATTTCTTCCATTATAAATACAAAATATACAAATATATAGGATTTCACTTATATTCACCTGAGGTTGTTGGGTACAGAATCCAGATTGCAATTAACTGCAGTGTATTAAGAACACTTCTTCATAACTAGAAAACCAATACTTTTGCCTTATTAACACAAGAAGTTATACAAATCTCTACTCAATGAGTATATTTACTTCCTTGGACAGAGCTGCAGATTATGTTTATACTTTAAAAATATTAAAAAAGTATTTTATAATCATATCTACCTTCTATTATTCTGTATCCAGTCGCTACTCGGAATGTACTCTTTCTGCTCTTCAATTCAAGTCTTCCCTCTCTTTCTGCCTGACCGAACTCACCTAATATACTATTTTCACAACACATGGTCTAATTGGCAAGACTTCTGATTGGTTGGTGTGACATATTTTCATACACAGACAGAATGAAAGGAAGCGAAAAACAAACAAAAAACAAACCGAAACACAATTGGGCTTTAGGGAATAGTTTGTATATTTGATATGTGCATACACAACCAGAAATAACAATTACAAAGTAAATGTTCCTCTAAAGAAACTCAATGTATGCGAAATACAATTGAAATTTATATCATGAACAAGGGGCATTCACAAATCCTGATTCTATTTGTATATACCGTATTTTTCGCTCCATAAGACGCACTTTTTTTCCCCTCAAAAGTGAGGGGAAATGTCTGTGCGTCTTATGGAGCGAATGTGAAGAATTACTTACTCAGTGTGCACACTTCCTTTCAGTCCCGCCGGAAACCGGAACCTGAAATAGAAGTTCCTGGACCGCGGAGCGCGCTGTGAAGCCGGCCCACGCTCCAAGACAGGTAAGTAATTATGGGACAAGGGGAGGGGGATACACTATGGGACAAGGGGAGGGGAGGAGACACTATGGGACAAGGGGAGACACTATGGGACAAGGGGAGGGGAGGAGACACTATGGGACAAGGGGAGGGAGACACTATGGGAGAAAGGGAGGGGAGACACTATGGGACAAGGGGAGGGGGGACACTATGGGACAAGGGGAGAGGGGACACTATGGGACAAGGGGAGGGGGAGACACTATGGGACAAGGGCAGGGGGACACACTATGGGAGGGAAAGTGCACTATGGGACAATGGGAGGGGGGACACTATGGGATCAGAACACTAATGGACAAGGGGAGGGACACCTATGGGAGAAAGGGAGGGGAGACACTCAGGGGTCAAGGGAACATGGTCAAGGGGAGGGGAAGAGACACTATGGGACAAGGGGAGGGGAAGAGACACTATGGGACAAGGGGAGGGGGACACTATGGGACAAGGGGAGGGGGACACTATGGGAGAAAGGGAGGGGAGACACTATGGGAGAAAGGGAGGGGGAGACACTATGGGACAAGGGGAGGGGGGAGACACTATGGGACAAGGGGAGGGGGGGACACTATGGGATCAGAACACTAATGGACAAGGGGAGGAGGGGTTAAAGAACACTATGGGACAGGGTAGGAGGGGTTAACAATCACTATGGGACAGGGTAGGAGGGGTTAACAATCACTATGGGACAGAGGAAAGGGGGGTTAAAGATCATTATGGGACAGGGGAGAAAAAAAAATATTCTGAACAAACTGTCCCATGGTAAGAAACACTATGGAACAGTTTGTTCAGAATATATTTTTTTTCTGGGTTTCCTCCTCTAAAAACTAGGTGCGTCTTATGGTGAGGTGCGTCTTATGGAGCGAAAAATACGGTACGTGTGAAATTTTACTCTAAGTGTATTTTTATATTAATATATGTATGTATTAATACAAAAATACACTTAGTATGACATTTTATATAATATATATATACACACGTATTATATATAGATATAATATATGTATAAATATTAACTTAATTTTTTTTATTTTAAAACTTTTTAAAAACTTTTTTCACCAGCAGGGGGACTGCCTGTCAGGCAACACTATAGATATACTATAGATGCCTATTGCGACCATGTGACCGCTCTCAGAGGGTCCTAATTTGCTGAGGGGGGACTGCCTAAGTGGGGGAATGCCGGTGGGGGAACAGTGGCAATCAGGTAAGTAATTAGGAATATCTCGGACATACTAGGTATGTCCGAGGTCCTTTGGGGGGGGGGGGATATTTCTTATTTATTTATTTTTTCATTGTTTTAATGTTTTTTAAAAATTTTAGTTCAATGAGTGCCTCGACCCCTCGAGGCACTCAGCACACAGGCAAAGCATCGGAAGCCTGCCTGATGGCTTCCGATGCTCTGCTACAATGCCGGGCGCCACTTGGGGCAACCTGGAAGTGATCGCTCCTGGGGGGTGATCACCCGACGCCCGGCAGTCAGGAGAGGTATTGCAGGATGCTTTGACATCAAGGCATTGCTGCAATACCGTTAGAGCGGCTAGAAGCGATGTGCCTGCCGCAGACATTTCAGGTGCATCCAAGGTTGTTAACAACCGTTTCTTGTCGGACATACCTGATACGTCCGCGGTCATTAAGGGGTTAAAATGTGGCCCATTTTGGATGATATATGCAGGAGTATTTTCATTTTGTTTGTGAATTTGACATGATTTTCAGCAAACGTGTTATGTTTGTAAAGAGTACTTGTTAGCCCTAATTATATTGTTCTTTTTATTGTTCTTTCTCCATTCAAAGGAGAATCTAGATTTCTACATTTCAAAGCATTTATTTCTGAAGTTGGTATGTTACCAACTGCGGGGGCCTGCATTTTAGCTGCATTGTTTTTATAGTAAGATACTAATCCATAAAACTCCAAGAGACATATTAGATGGGGCAGTGAGGTAGACAATTGTGTTAGAGATAGGATCAAGTCATCAATAAATGGAGAAATTATTTGAGGTCATTATTATGTAATAACAGGTATCCCTGGCATGTCCTGTTGGAAATTGTGAATGGGTCTGATAAAAATCCTGAGTTAAGATTTTTGCTTTTCAGAATCAAGTGCTAGGAAAATTCCCTGTATATGAGTTCTTATATCTTCATTATATCTAAAAGGTAAAAAAAAAAAAGAGTATTATCAGAAGCCTGTCATCCAGGTATAAACCTGCTTGTTTGTGTCACGGTAGTTTACTGGGGAATGTGGGATGACAGGGGCCAATGGGAGCACATTTCATCTTTTGGCTCCCACTGCCCATTTAAGAGCGTGCCTGAGACGCGCGGCACGCTCTTAGAGCTAGGTGGGACACGTGACCGCATCTCACGGTCTGTGCCCGCCTTCATTCGAGAGCCGCACGCGGCGGGAAGTGAGGACCTCAGCCGGCCCCCGGGTAAGGTAAGTACCGCTACAGTACCCCCCCTGAAGACACACCCACCGGGTGGGGAGGACCAGGCCTAGCAGGAAAACGAGAATGGAAGGAACGCACAAGGCGAGGAGCATGAACAGCGTCAGCGGAAAGCCAACTGCGTTCCTCAGGCCCATAACCCTTCCAATGCACCAGGTACTGGAGTTGACCCCTGAGAAAATGAGAGTCAAGTACAGCAGCTACTTCGAATTCCTCATGACCCTCCACAGAAACAGGAGGAGGAGGAGGAACATGCTGGGTATAGCGGTTACACAGGAGGGGCTTCAACAAGGAGGTGTGAAAGATGTTAGGAATATGCAGGTTCTTAGGAAGATCCAAGGCATATGAAACAGGATTAACTCTATGCAAAATACGGAAAGGACCTATAAAATGGGGGGCCAACTTCATAGAAGACACACGAAGGCGGATATTGCGAGTGGAAAGCCAAACCCTGTCCTCCATGACATAGGACGGAGCCGCCCTGCGATGTTTGTCAGCTTGAACCTTTTGGCGAGCAGCGGAGTCCACCAAAGAATGCTGAACCTGCTCCCAAGTAGTACGTAAACCAGCCAAATGTTCATCCAGAACTATCATGCCCTGTAAGGAGAATGCAGCTGGAAGAACAAGAGGATGCCGGCCATAAACAACGTAGAAAGGGCTTTTACCGGAAGATTCATGAGCAGCGTTATTACGAGCAAATTCACCCCAAAGAAGCAGGTGAGCCCAATTGTTCTGATGGTGGGATACGAAACAACGAAGATACTGCTCTAGGGATTGGTTGGCACGTTCAGCAGCTCCATTAGACTGGGGGTGGCAAGCGGAGGAAAACAAGAGAGAAATACCCATCTCTGAACAAAAAGCTCTCCAGAATCTGGAAATTAATTGGCTACCCCTATCGGATACAATAGATATAGGAATGCCATGCAACCGAAACACCTCCCTGGTGAAGATAGAACCAAGTTCCTTGGATGAGGGCAATTTGACAAGAGACACAAAATGAGCCATCTTAGAAAATCGATCCACTATCATCAGGATGACTGTTTTGCCATTCGAAGGAGGCAATTCAACAATGAAATCCATGGATGGATTGGACCAAGGCCTCTCAGGTATGGGCAACGGGTGCAACAACCCACAAGGAACTCTATGAGAAGACTTCATACTGGCACAAGTAGTACATGCCCAAACGTAATCGGTGATATCCTTGCGTAAGGAAGCCCACCAAAAATATCTAGAAACTGCTATTAAGGTTTTAGAAACCCCAGGATGTCCAGCAGTTTTGGCATCATGATATAACGACATAATGTCCCGTCTTTCAGGAACATCAACAAACAGTTTATCAGTAAGTTTCTCACTGGGTGCCATGTTTTGTTTAGCCTGTATAACTTGTAAGAGTGAAGAAGAAATAGATAGAACCGTAGTAGCTATTATTCTGTCCAGGGGAATGACAGGGGTATTATCAAACTCTTGTTTGTTGGTAGTTTCAAATTGTCTAGACAGAGCGTCAGCTTTAGTGTTACGATCCCCTGTTTTGTAGGTGATGATATAATTGAAATGAGATAAGAACAGTGACCACCTGGCCTGCCTAGAAAATCTTTTGGCTTCACTAAGGTAGGAAAGGTTTTTGTGATCCGTAAAACTGAGGATGGGGTCCTTAGTACCTTCTAAAAGATGTCTCCACTCCTTGAGTGCTAAAACAATAGCAAGGAGTTCTCGATTGCCTATGTCATAGTTCTTTTCGGCTTTGGACATCTGTTTGGAAAAGAAGCCACAAGGATGTAATGGCATATCAGGTGATTCTCTTTGAGATAAGACAGCACCTACCCCATATACCTGAAGCATCAACTTCAAGAATATAAGGCAAAGAAGGGACGGGATGCTGTAAAATAGGAGCAGAGGCAAACGTGGTTTTAAGAAATTCAAAGGCCTCACAACTGAACACAACAAGCGCTAAAGGGAACTGAAACAGAAACCACGATAGGGCAGGGAGTTAAGGGAGAGGTAAGTATAAATACCCTAAACTTTACTTTGATTGGCCCCTGTCATATGGCCCAAAATGTGAGTGTCTGGGGAATATGGGATGACAGGGGCCAATGGGAGCACATTTCATCTTTTGGCTCCCACTGCCCGTTTAAGAGCGTGCCCGAGACGCGCGGCACGCTCTTAGAGCTAGGCAGGACATGTGACCGCATCTCGCGGTCTGTGCCTGCCTTCATTCGAGAGCCGCGCGCGGCGGGAAGTGAGGACCTCGGCCGGTCGCAGGGTAAGGTAAGTACCGCTACAGTTTGGTGACACCGGGTTAAGGAGGAGTTGTATCGTCAGTACCTTGGCATAATGTTTGATATTTGCGATAAGCAGGGATTTCAGTCTATAGTTGGCTCCGGGGAGTGTTACTATGTTGGCTTCCAGCATTTCATTTGGTATAGACCCCATATCTTTATTAAAGTTAAATAAATCTGTGAGATGTGGAGTGAACTCTTCTGTGCACGTCTTATAATAAAATTTTGAGAACCCATCTAGTCCAAGTGCCTTGTGCTTAGGGAGGGTTTTGATGGCTTGCAGGAGTTCATCAGTAGTAATCTTGACTGCTAAATTAGTTCCAACTTATTCAATGGAGATGACTGGATGAGAGACTTGTGTGAGAAATTCACTTATATCTTCTCAAGTAGGTGTGTGTGCTAGCATCTTGTGCCAGTTTGTATAGCTGAGTGAAGAATGCTTTAAACTCGTTGACTATTTTACAGGAATTCATTATTTTCTTGTTCTTGGAGTTGCTTAAGTAGAGTACCTTAGCTTGTTTCTTCTATGCTTTGAGTTTAGCCAGTTGGGAAGTAGGTTTCTTATGGAGAGTATCTTTAATCATGGCCAAACCTTTAGTAAGTAATTGCAATTTGTTAGACTCCTGTGCGAATAGAGCGTCGTTAGTAAAAGTTGAAAATCAGGAAGTGGCCACTCTTGTATGTAAATTTGACATTCAGAGTGAATTACCAATCTTTATATATTAGGATAGTGGCTCCACAACTCTTGGTGGGTTAGTAAGCATGGTAAGTCACCGAATAGTGCAGGGAGGATTTCTTTGGTGGATTAAGTTTACAAAAAAAATCTCCTTGAGACAAACTACAGAAGCAGGTACTTTTTAAGCTTCTTGTAGGAGGAGTCTTCTTTTATGGGGAGTGTTAAGTCTCTTGCAGTTCAGGGACATAATTGAATTTGTGTCCATTTTTGTTGGTGCTACTTATGTGTGTCTTGAAGACCAGCATACAGTGGGAACATTCATAAAGGCTCCATTGGACAAAGGAAAGGAGAGGGGGATAGAGAGCTTAAGAGAGCATTGGTAATAAAATGTCAAACAATTATAGTAAAAATAAGACATTAGGACGTCACTTAGCATAAGAGCGAACAGGTAAGCCTAACCATTACAAAACATAAAAGATATATATTACACCACTCTTACATGTGTGTATTGTGTCTTGGATCAAAATAGGTTAGCAAACAAGAACAAACGAAACAACTAAACGTAATTAGGCCTTTTGTATAAGTGCAAGGTGAGGATACAAGTGCATTTAATGTGAAATCAACCTTTTGGCCTCGCCTCCCCCATGTGCTGGGAAACACTAAATAAGAACCAGTGGGGGTTTCCTATATAATCTCCCTGTGTCATCTATATCTATATGCCACTATCCAACTGGTTGGCAGGCACATTCCAAATGGTTGTTACTTTCTATAAAGATGAGTCAGTTAAGTAGTAAGAGTTAGAGTTTGTATCAGGTGGAATGACAGGATGGGTGACTGCCATGGGGGCAATAGCCCTCTTTGAGTATATGTCATGATGTTAACAGTGAAATTAACCAAGTATTATATACCTAGCTTCGGCCAAAAAAAATAACATGCGTCATGTGAGCATTATATTGGAGAAGTGTACTTTTTTAACACAATAGAAAAGAAAACTATTACATTACAGTACGTGGTTTTGTAAAAGCGTTGCCCTGTAGTTGTGCATAGTCAGTGGGCCATTATTATGGGGTAACTTTTTTTTTCTTTTAATGATTTTTAGTGTTAAGCCATGAATATTAAACTGTAGTAAATCTCAAACCTTTCCCAGCGGCAATGAAACCAGTTCATTAGCTCATTTGGCTTCACCTGAAGGTATAAGCAGATGTGTCAGCTGGAACACAAGTCTTCAGGCCCCACTGTTAATTTGAAGAGTCCACCACCCTCCAGTCCACTGGTATCTTCACAAGTGTATCTCTTTGAGATGTCTGGTCTGGCAGTTTCCTAACAGTAGACATTCCTTCCTCCAGTGTCTTGGTTGTGAGGGTTCCATTTCTCCAGAGTAGGATTTTAGTAGGGCATTCCCATTTATAGGCAGGTTATCCATGAGTCACAGGTGCAAACTACCTCAGTTTTGCCTTCAGTGCTGTCAACAGGTCTGCGAACAGCGCATGTTTAGAAAAGGAATCATGGAGTGTCCAATGTTGTTTAGAGGCTGCCATCATAAGGCCTTATTTGACCTAAAGTTGACCTCTCAAGTTGAATCCTTGAGTAGGCTTCTGGGCTTTGGAATTCGGTGGGCATGGTCCATGTGCCATTTTGACACTGGGAGTGTGGGAATGTGGGAACAATCAAGTTAAAGAAGGACGTATAGACCTACAGTTGACACAGACTCCAGTATCCCCCTCACCGGAACATTGTTTTGTCTGGCCTGTCCTCTGCATCCACACTTTTGCTGCCAGGCTCTTGTAGTCAGACTCAAGTGTGGAAATGTAATCCTTATGTGGGTGCCACATAATTATTCCAACTCTTGCTCATTGTGGTCGGTGCATTTCCCAAGGCTTCCATATCCCTGTTTATCTCTCTAAAGTTGGCCTGGAGGAATAAGCGCAGGTTCTTTAGCATCTTTTGTATCTTCTTCTTCAACGCTGCTAAGTTGTCATATAGCTGTGAGAGTATCTCCAGCTCAGATGTTGTATAATATTGAGGGGATAGAACAGTCCAACAGAATTAGGTGCAGAAACAGAAAACAAAGGTAACTCAAATAAATCAAAAATAAACTGAGAAGCGGCTGTAGAGCGAACATCCATATCCAAGGAAACATGACGAATTTTCACACTGGAACAAACAGAAACAAGTAAAGATGAGTGTAATGACAACTTGTCAATATAACGCCAGGCAGTGGAGTGCTGCACACTAATTTGTGGACGCACCGGAGCTCTGTGGGGAAGGTCCGCTAGCCCCCCAATATAAATCCAGAAGTATAGAGCTACACAGTGTAGGGTGAAAAATAAGGTATATTTAATTATGGACCAGGAGACAAAACAAAGATACGTTTTTTTTTTTAAATCATTAATCAGGCCATATACATGATTAAGGCCTCATGGCTGAAACGTCATATCTTTGTTTTGAATCCTGGACCATAATAAATATACCTTATTCTTTACCCTTCACAGTGTAGCCTGTGGCTCTACACTTCTTGTCAATATTATGAACATTAAGAAGTACAGAAATAACACTAAAGCATAAAAATATATATTGATAAATTGCAACAGATAATTAACTATATTAAATTAGAAGCAAAATACACCACTCATGTAAAACAGAACTAAACCCATAATCAAACAATCCACAAGAATGACAAGAAAATTAGGATGGGATAAAGAAGGCATGGAAAATACTCACCTCCTGTCATTACTAAAATTAAGATTACAGGTACGCTATGTTGGCATAACCTACAATTGTGCCACATGACAGGAGGCTTCATATTGACAGGAGGCTTCCTGATCTATAGGTTTCTGTATCCAGAAGTGGATGACTTTAGCCTAGTGGGTAAGTAGGCTAAATACCAAGGATTGAGGGTGCCTGATGGTCTTCGCGTCAAACAGAGGACAACTCTGAGTGTCCAGGAATAAACCATTTAGCTCCTATGAAGAGGAATCACTTTTATCCTCAGAAGGCAAAGGGTCATCCACAATTGACTCCCTGACATATTTGGAATCCAGGGGGGCAGGTCTTGCCAGTCATCTAGACCCTCAGATGCAGAACCAGCCAGCACCATTTGTCCAGGATGTCTAATGAGGCTGGAAGGTAAAAGTCTTCCTCTTTGGAGGACAGCATTGGGGGATGGTTCAGCCACCGCTGTCCATTTGGTGCGCTTCGCTGGTGCTTTCCCTTTGCATCAGGCATCATGGCAACACCATGATGCCTTTCCTGTGGCATTTGGTGAGAGGTGGAAGTTTCTTGGTGGAAACTTCAGAGCCCCTGGTTTCCTCATCAGGAGGAGGCGTCAGGCCCACAGACTGATTAGAGTCCATAGGACAAGGTTGTGTAAGGATTTTGGAGAAAAACGTCTTTGCAGGAGCAGCAGCATTCATCATGGACTGAAAGTCCTGTGTTTGTGGTGGTGAATCACTCATGTCGGAGTCTTTAATGTCCTGTGCAGGAGAGGACATATGTTAGTAGCCAGTTGGGCAAGGCCTGACGAAGATACCCCTTGGCAAGTACACTTGAAGCCCGCATGGTAAATAGGCAGAGCTAACCACCGTGATACTCTGTAGGGATGGTAGTGTCAATTAGATTAATGAGAGGGGTTCACCCTTTATGACCAGTTTTGAGCAGTTAATAGATCAGGGACTGAAAACCTGAAGTAATATGGAGGCGTCGAAAGCCTCCAATATAAAGGGTTTAAGCCTTTGATTCCTTATATATGTTGGGGAGGTACCAGGTCAGGTGCAGTCTGAATAGAAAGCGAACACTTAAAAGTGTTGAGATACTTTAGATGGGCTCACCCCAGTAATATCCAAGCAGGCTCAGATATTAGGTAGAACAGAGTCATTTTAGCTCTGCAATGTAAACCATTGTTGTTTAGTAGAAACAACAATGTTTCCATTGCAAGTCTAAACACACCTCTAGTGGTGATCTTCCCAACAGCCACTAGAGGCGCTTCCACTGTGAATGCTGAGTCAGTCTCAGCTCTCACATGTGAAGTATTCCTAACTGTATCGTATGCCTTTAATACCTATTATGCTACACTATGTTTCTTATTTGGATTCTTTTATGGGAGCAGCATGCACAAATCACATCTTTCAAGTATGGTTACTATTTCCTATTTTTAGTACATATCTTGTACAATTACTACCATTTCTGGTTACTATTTTAATATTAACATGCTTAGATTATAGGACTTGACAGATCAGCTTTCCTGACAGCTGTTGGCTGGTTATGTCTGCTTATCATACAGAGTGGTACATCTATTAAACCCTTGATTATTTTCACCCTTCATTGGTTTGTCAATTACCTTTATAGGTTGCTATCTGCATCTGATACTCTACCTAAGTTTTGGAGTGCAACATGTCTACCTATGTATGCAAAATATAGGAATTCCTTCTTCATACTCAACTTCCCCTAAATGTTATCTTTAGAAAGTGTTCAGTATTGACATGAAACGTGTTCCATTCCCAGTTTCATTTATTTATTTTTCTCTTTTTTGATGTCCTTTGCAGATATGTGTTAGCTACAATACTTATCAGTTCTGGTTATTAAGGTGGGCATGCCTTGCGTACAATATTGTAATAAAACTGCACTACAAAGGCACTCATTCTACAGATATATTTTTCCCATTAGGAGTGCGGTATTTTGTGAGGGCTATTTTGTGAGAATTTTCAGAATTCGAGGAACATTGCTGCCAGCACATCTACTGCCATGGTGGAGTGAGTAATTAGTTTCCTGCTGTTTTTGCTATATTATATATATATCGATATTCATTAGATCTTATTAACAAATCTTCTTTTCTGTTATTTGGGGTAGTGGCACATACTTTTCTTTTGCTTTATTTCCTATGTGCCCATGTTTGTATGTGGCAATGCTTATATTTGAAGTATGTTCATATCAAGATCACACAAATTATAATGCTTAATTGCTTATAAAAGTCAAAAAGTTAATTAACTAATGTATATGGTAGGGATAAACAATAAGTCAACTGAATTTAGATTGTAGCCAAATGAATAAACCATGAAAAGGGATTTAGAAAAAGAAAAACATGATAGAAAAAGACCCATGAACTATATCAGTAAACCAAAATAGGCCTTTTAGGACTGATATAATAATGTAATATTAAATCTGCTATATATAATGTATACTGAGTTGTTAGTTATGCAGCCTCCTATGCAGGCCTATTCAGGGAACTTTTACCAAGATCACAAGCAATAACTGCAGCAAATGCTAGGGGTATCTGTGTAAATTTAAAATAAAACCGAAAATATAAAAGTATACTTGAAAATTGCAGTGTGACCTCTCATTGTCCTAAATGCAAATCCCAGGGTAAGTGTAAATTCAGATAAACCAAAGACTTAATATATATAAACTTGCAAATCGGAAACATATTTGCTAAAATCATAGGTCCCAGTAAAAAACCCTATGCGTTTCGTTTCAAATTTTGTCAGGGACAGGGATGCAAATGTAAATAACGTATTGATATTATTAAAATATTGATTTGGTGCCCATATTTGATGCAGTGCACAATTATTTCCAGATGGATATTATGTTAAGACATAGGCCTAGCATAAGAATAAAACAAAAAGGAAGGCTCTAAATACACAATCCATATGAGAGACGTATTACTTGAACGAACACCTAAAAACATTTATAGACAATTGCTTGGATATAACAGAATGAACATTGCATATTCCAACTGTTTTGAGTAACATTTTAATTGTAATGCAGTAAAACAACATTTGTTTAGGAGAGGATTATTTGATGATATTATGGTACGCATAATCCTGATGGTGGCTGCAGGCACATATGGGTCAACTGTGTTCTGGAAACTTTTTAATCTCGTATCATCTTGTATGCCTTCACCCTAATGTCCTATTTATCCCGAAGCACAATCAAAATTATGTTTCAGCTTTTTTTTTTTTGTTTGCTGCGCAAGTCTCATCTTTTATGTGCTCATGAGAATAGAATTTCTATTCCCTTCTGCTCCTCACATCCACTGTTTAGAGAAAGCTTTAATTCCCAAACACAATAAACAACCAGAGTGAAAGAAATCTTCCTTAGGTAACCTCAGAACAGAAGAACTTTGTGCATTATGCAGCCTAGGCCATGCCAAAATGCAATTTGGAAGCTGTCCAGCACTTCATTGGAAAGTAATGGTTTTCACTGAACTGAGTTATGACCAGCTGTTTGCAGACAGTCTGTGACATACTGATAGAGCCGAACACCGTATGTTGCTTTCCAAATCAAATGATACAAGAAGTGTGACAGAGTGGAGAAACATCTGTCATTAGCAATTTTCAACACGCTTCACTAATTCTGGACAAAATACGAGTAATGAACTTACCCCAGGAAACTTCAAATACTACCACTGTGGAAACAAGAATACAAACAGCTAGTTCTCCTAATGGCTACTAATTTAATTCATTTGGTGTAAGAAACAAACAAAGTGGATTACTTTTTTTAGATCATGGTTTAGTCAACGCTCATCACAAATGTTCGCTTTAATCAAACGATGAAGGTCAGAAGTATCAACTTCTTCTAAGTTCCAACGGAGGTTCTAATGAATCAGGCTAAAAGTATCTTGTTTAACTGTTGTCTGTTTGTAAGCATTGATCTTTAGTAGATGTTCAAACTGTAGCATGAGCCGAGAGTGTTTTAAAAGTACAGTTCTGTTCTGCTGAGAAGAAAACAGAGCCATAAGAATGGGATGCTAAGTCAACAAGATATCTAACAAAGATACAAAGTTGAAACTCAGGACACTATACTGGCTTCTATCTAAATAACCAACACAATGGTCTTCAAATTATCTTCTCCCATCAGCACTAACCTTCCATCCCAGCCCTTTTCCTTTACCTCTGCCACTTATATACTGTATGTTTTACCTTTACCACTGACACAGTTTATACTCATACGGTAGATATCTACTAGTAAATACAGATTTGTGGCGGGATGAACTTTATTATTACACATTTTAGGCCAAGATAGCCAAGTTGTAAATTTTAGGCAAATTTTATCAGACATTTTTAAAGTGGTTATCCAGCTTAATGCAATTTACAATTAAGAAAATAGAGCCTATTGTCTAACTGAAAATACCTAAATTAGTTATACAGAGCTGTAGAATAAATCAAAGTATAGATTCAAATGTACGTTTCAGATTTCAGTCACATCAATCTCAATGTAGTCTTCCATCTAGTTTTGTTTAAATATTCTTCTAGTTCTTCCTCTTTTTCATTTCTCACCTTTCTTCACTGTTCATAGTTCATTTAAGATATCAGGGTTATTCAATAAAATTGAAATTCAAAGGAGCTTGGGTATAAAATTTGAAATTCACTTTGCATTCACCCTCGATTCTCACTTTAGAGAATAACCCTGTATAGTTTTATTTTTAAACGTTAGAGTTGTGTGTATGTTTTGTTTGTATCCTTATTGTGGTTCTAAACATTATTTAACAAAGGGTGATTTTTGAATATCAATTTAATTTACCTTGAATTGCTATATGTTCAAGCTATCTAATAAATTGGTTGCCATAAAGATTATGTTACTTCATTGATGAGATGTGAGCAACTATCTGACCTTTGTTATGTGCCTAGCTCAACACAAATTCCATCGAACTAGCTCGATACAAAAATAATCTGCTGTTATACACTTTTTATTGGTTAACTATGTCAGACTGATCATCACCACCTATGTACTGTGCACTTTTTATTTCTCGTTCCTTTACATTTCTTGTCACCCTTGAAAAAAACTAATAAAAATTGTCAAATTGAAAAACCTCCCAGCAACAACATCAAATTGACATATTTTCGAACCGGAGTGAGTGGTGTAAAGTGATGTTTGAACTCTGTTATAGTGGCCGTATAGATGTTTCATGTCAAAGATCTGAAAGCAAATCAAACTGAAACCAAAGGTTTGCAGGCCCATTAACTAGTTTATAACTTTGTTTTTCTTTAATAAATGATGTATTTCAACTTATTTCTTTTTATTGAGTATATTATAAACTTCTTGGCACTTGCTATAAACATGGTGTCAGGCTGTTAAATTAACATGCAGATTAAGGACAGGTTATGTTTTCAGTTCCTGTACTGAGCAGTATGACATCACACTCTGCAATATCACCTAACCGTTCTGCATGGTGTGAACCAGCACTGTGAATCACAGGGTCTAAATCTCTGTACAGAAATGGAACGCACACATTTTGCAGCTAACATCATTAATTCTACCCCTCTTCCATTACTCATATGCCAGTGTGAGGCTGAGGAAAGATACATAATATTTCACTCTCCTCAGCAACTCACCCAGTGTATCTGCAAGGTGAGAGGGGCAGGATTAATGACAGCTGACAGGGAAAAGCTGTGGCTGCAACCTGAAAGTGTGTTTATTTGTGTATCTGTGTATGATTGTGTTAATCCTGTCTGCTGCTTATATCCGTACTGCTACCTTG